TGCCCACACAGCACCTAGAGCATGAAAGATATTTAATACTTGCTTCCTGATTGAGCTCAAGTGATTAAAGAATATGTTTTAATTGAATAAAGAGGCTATGGACCATTAAGTGCTAAATAAACCAAGATGAAAGGGACATTTGGAAGGGAAAATGCCAGAGAGCTTTTATTTTTCTATCAGTGAAAGGAGAATCTTCTGAGAATAATTCTTTGGCTGTTGGATTGGCCTGAGGTCCTAAGACTGGCCAATTCAAATTAAGCCTGAAATAGATTTCTCTAAACAGCAACAGTTTGAAATAGGTCTTCAGACTGAGGCCAGAATGAGATGTTGGTCTCAGATCTTGAGTGAGGAATCAGTGTCTCCTAAAAGCCTGACATGGGATTTCTTGATTCCAAGCACCTCATCCCAAATGGCAGAGCCCCCTTCCAACTTAGGGACTTTATTACAGTATTGTCTGTTCATATAGTCCCTAGAATAATAATAAAAAAATAGATGGATGGCGCGTATTTATTCTGAACTCTATATCCCACAAAATTAGATTTGAAAGCCTAACATTTAACTACCTTGTTGCATTAGAAGGTTTCTTAGCTGGATAACAACAGGCTGAAAGTTTACTAAATTCACTAACAGTCTTTTGCTGGGTTTGTGAAACAGCTTGAATTAAATATCCAGGTGGGATCACTTAAAACAGAACTGCTCTATCTCAAGACAGGGAGCCTCCAGCTCACCGCCTCCTTGATCTCTTACACGTAAGGATCTTATGGTGTCCTGGCTCCCTTCTCCCCATAGGGGACGAGGGTCTCCGTAACATGACCATGGGAATCTGGTGGGAAAAATTCCATAGGAACTATGGGCTCAGCAAATGGGGAAGGGAAGGAGCTGTGAAACCTGGGAAGAGCCAGGGGGAGCTGACCCGGGGGCAGAATCCCACGCAAGGCTGGCCCAACTGACTGACTGCGGGGCCCAAAATAGCCTCCCCGCAAGGCCTGCATTTCTTCCACTCTCTGTACTTTGTTGGGCTGCTTGAAATTCCACCATTTAGAGCAATGTCTTGGCAGAGGCCGAACTGACAGCCTGGGACGGAAGAAAAGGCACTCACTGGGTGCGTGTTGGGAGGAGCAGCATGGCAAGTACGATGGTTGTTTATGGGGCACGGGCTTTACAAAGCATTGCCTCATGTAACTGTTCACAGCAGCCCCGGGAGGCAGGCTGAATAGTGTTCCTATTTCACAGATGAGGAAAATGAGGCTTGAGAGCTGTTAAGTAACAGTTAAGTGGTCAGGCTGACTGAACTGAATGTGTGAACTTGAGCTCTTGCTTGTTGAAACTCCATGATTTCTTGCTCTGTGCCCTCCTTTGGCAGATTATGGGAAATGACAACTTGGGAGGAGACTCCAGCTTCATAATATTGTGAATCATATCTCAGTTTGATCAAGGTTACATAGATTTTTGTGGGCTAGTCTGAGAACTTGATGGCTTGATCTGCAAGATTGTTTCTCTAGGAAATTTTGTGACTTGCTACCAAACCGGTAGAATGGAACCCCATTATATTACAATGCATTGTGGATTACTTGCAATTATAATTTAGCAATGCTCAGTGTTTCTTCTAATTATTTTCCAGTCACACAAAAAGGCCACCTTTTCTGAGCAAGGTTATAGTTTTAGTTTACAATGCCACCAAATTGCACCACACCCTGTACCTTTATTAGATAGTACATTTTGTGAGGACAGGGGCTTTTGTCTGTGTACTGAGGATTCCCTAGCCCCTAGGACAGTGCCTGGCACACACAGGCACACATTAATTACTTGTTGAATGCATAAGTGCTTTTAGATCACAAATTTTTAAAAAGCAAATGCATTTTATGCTTTGTGAAACACATTTAGAGTTATCATGCACAGCTGAGAACTGGTATATGACTATGATTAACAAACCTTTAAAAACTGCAAGCAACCTTGTGCAACACAGTTTTACTCATTAGTTGAAAACTTTCCTCCTATATATTTAAGTGTTTTCTCCTAGGTAGCAAGACTGAACGCTCTGCAGTTCAGTGGTTTAGAGAAACTCGGGTTCTGGCTTCAGCAAATCTTCCTCCTGCCATCATGGAACCCTGGCACTTTGGATAAACTACTTAATATCTTTAGGCCTGGGAAATTTAGGCGCTACCTTTCAGCTCTAAAATGCTATGACATCTGTGCACAAGACCTTCTAGTTTCACCTTTTACATGCCTCAGGCCTGCTCTAATCACACGTTAGTAAAGACACAGGTAAAAAGCACAATGGTAAAATAAAAACAAAGATGGTGAAACGGGAAAGTCTTGGATGACCCGAAAGGAAAACCACAAGTCTTTAAGTTTAGACAAGTTTGAAGCTGCTACAAGCAGCAGCCACAACCCATGAACTTTATGGTCAACCTCTGTGCAGACAAGTGGGCCAGTTACGACTTCTAGTTGGTTTCAACACGTGATAATGGTAGGAACAAGATTCTGGCTGCTTCATTTACATCAGAACCAGCAGAATACATGCGATCTCAAGGGTGAATGTGTAGACAGGGTGCAGTCCAGCCCCCTTTGAACAGCATAGAATGACCGACTCAGGTAACACGAAAGAGCCTTTGCTCAATCACTAAATTCCAAGAAGAGGGATCAGTATTTATGGCACTTTCTATTTTCAAACGACGAGTGACTTAATGTTTTCTACATAAGCCTTCACTGCACGGTGTACAGTGTAGGATATAAATGTCAGCACTGTGACAGTGCATGTTGACACTGGTTGAGTGTTCAAAGTCTGCACATTGTCTTTATCCTGCCTTCCCCGTACTGACAACTTGCTACTGAATTGAACATACCTGGAAAGAAGTCAATTTGGCTTAGAATGCAGCTCACTTTCTCTTTGGGAACATTTCTCTTTCAAGGATCTATTGGGTCTTCCCATAGATAAAACAGAATCGGGTGTGCTCTGCTGGTTCAAATGTAAACACAGTAGTCAGAATCTTGTCCATCCATACTACTGATACTACTGATGACTTAGTATCAGTTTTGGAAAAATCCTCCCTTCCCCCACAACTCCCCCCACCCCAATCAATGAAATTAATGTTACCTTGCTTGCTCTGTGACTGGCTGGACCTTACATGAGGCACAGATTTTCTTAGGGTATTATCAAGGCATAGGGATTCACCTGACTGCACATTAGACTCACCTGGGGAACACCTAAATCTCTAGTTGCCCAGGCCACACCTCAAGCCACTTAGATCAGAATCTCTCTGGGTGAGGCCCAGCACCCGTAGTCACTACAGCTCACCAGGTGAGTCCAGTAAGCAGGGGTCTAATGAGCCTCTTCCCAGAGGAAGGTTAGGGTGGAGCGTGAAGGTTGGGGTAGGCCAGATCTCAGTCACTGGCGTTTTGGAATGGAAAGGCCTTCCATTACTGTACAGTTGTAAACTGTTCATTGGGTCTGGCAGTAAGTAATTTGTTCGAGGTGACAAATTAGCCAAAAGCAGAGCCAGAAGCAGGAGCCAGCATTAAATAAGCCTAGGTAGACAGGATACCAATATTCTTATTAAATTTCCATGAACTAATCAGCTTCATAATCAGGCACAGTCATTATTCCTCCAGAGTGCCTTGGTGAGAAAACTATTACCTTTCACTGGGTTCCTGTTCCTCTGACCTAGGCTGTTTGAATGAATGAAAAGCCATTTAGCCTTCATGGGTACTGTTCTGAAGACTGTGGCACTAAAGCACATTTTAAGTTTCTACTGGAGAAACATTATATACACTAGGATAAAAATTTGTGGCTGAAACCAAAACCTTTAAAAATAGGTCTATACAACTAACTGACATACACTCTTGGAACAGTTACTTCAATTTCAAGGGATCAAACTGTGTTCTCTAATCCTAAATCACTCTTGAAGACTTAATTTGTCTTAGAAAAATGCACTTTTTCTTGGGAACTCAGGAAGAAGATGCTTTTATTATCGTAATTAAGCATAAGATAAGCACATCACATTTCCTAGGCTACTTTTAGCCCAAGGCCACAGGTTTGGGGGACTCCAGCATACAGCTGACTTTGGAACCCTTTCAATGGTGCCTATGATCACAATACTTTTCAAATGCAGAATAGGGTAATAGAAATGGGGAGTAGCCAGCATTGTTATGGCTATGGTTTACTGTTGCTTTAGTTTGGGGTTGTGCAAATTTTCTATTCCTCCCCAGTAGTCTCTAACTTGTGATGAAGCATATTCTGCTTTATGCAATAGACAAACTTCTCAAGAGCAGAGGGTAAATTATATCAAATCATAGTTGACATGCCCTGATAAACCGCTAAGACATTTTTGAGAGGCAAATCACAGATTTATTTTCTAATATGAATAATCTGGTCTTAAGAGTTAACATTGTCATGTGTGGAGTGAACTACAGTTTTTTTGTTTTTTCCCCTAGCCCCAGCCAGCACTATTTATCGTTTTCTTTCTAGAACCGGAACTTTCCTCAACACACTTGACACTGCCCAGATGCTTGTTCTGGAAATCAAGGCCTTTCTGTGTTTTCTCTGACTCTGGCATGGTTTTGTGAAACCTCAGCCTTTTCCCTTGCAAGGGCAGTTTAGGATGGAAATGCAATTGTTCTCAGAATTCAGCACAGCCAGGCACACCCAAACAGAGATAGAGGGCTTTGGAACAAAACACGGGTGTGTGTGTGTGTGTGTGTGATGGGGAGGCAGAGAAAAGAGAACACTGCGTGTTTTCCTGTGGTGGTGGGAGTGGTGGGGAAAACAGCTGTTGATCGGAATCTAAATGAGCAGCAGAAAAACGTGTTACCCTCTGTGTTGGGCAAAGCCAGCACGTGCCATGCAGACTTGGGGCACCAGTTGGTGGCCGCGCACCGGGAGGGGGCTTCGGCGCCTGCGCCGCTCTTCCCTGGGAGCCCACTCTGCTGTCGGGGCTGACTTGGGGGTGCGTGCGGGCGGCGGGTGGGGGTGACCCCTGCGGGGAGGGAACGGTTCTTACAGTCACTGCTCAGCGCGAAGGGCGCGCGGCGGCGGCCGAGGGAGCGGTCTTCGGCGGGCGCCTCGGGAGGCCTCTTACCGGCGGGCAGCGGGAAGGCGGACGCGGTGTGGAGCAGCACCAGGCAGACAGCCACAACATCCCATAACTTCATCTTAGAGTCCCGTCCGGCGGCGGCACCTGTGCGGGCGGGCGGGCGGGCGGGCAGGGGCGCAGAACCGGGGAGAGCACGTTAGGCCTGGATGCTGGGCCCCGCGCGGGTCCCCGGGGCTCCCCTCCAGACTTGGCACCGCCCTCCTTCCGGACCGCTGCGGCCGGGCGCTTCCCCGGGCACCCCCACCCTTCTTTCCTTCCCAGCGCCCTGCCTGTCCCTGCTCCGGGGTGCGCCTCTCTGGTTTCCAACAGACAATTGCCCTTTTCTTCCGCCATCGGATCCCAAGATTTCGGGGCAGGGCTGTTTCCCCCTGCCAGTACCAATACGACGACAGCAGTACCGGCGCGCAACCCCATCTCCATTCTGGGGGGCGACCGAGCAACCCTCACCCTGTGCTCCCGCCCCGTCCAGCAGCTCCCACAGACCCCCCTGGAGAACGAGCCCTGAACCCAAGCAAGAGACCAGCCCGCCGGGGTCCTGATCCTGTCCTCAACTAGGCGGGGTCAGGCTCAGTGGCACCACGAACCCTGCCCAGGCTTTATTCCTGCCATTTCAACTAGTGTTTTGTCGTCGAAACAAGAAGCCAGTGGGGACTTAAAAGACTTTGAGGCTGTCCAGGAATATCTGTGTTAAGCTCCTGAACTTTCCAAAGTTTCAACTCGGTTTAAAATACTACTTCCACTTCTTAAGGTTACGAATATTAACATATGAAAAGGCCTAACCATGCATAACGTAAGCGTTCAACAAATGCTTTAGCGTTACAGTTAGGGAGGGATTGCCTCGGTCTCGAAAATGTTCGTGGGTGTACTCGAATACTCTCTTCATTTTTGCAAGATTCTGGCCTTAAATCCTTTCCCCTCGCAGAGGGGTTTCGAGCTCCCCACGCCGGGTCACAGTCACTCCTGGACGATCGTAGCCTGTAGAGGACGCTACGCAGGAGCGCCGGCACCAGAAGGTCGAGACCGGGAAAGGGTGCACGATGGGGACTCAGCTCCTCTTAGGGGGCTCCGTTTGGCTTCTCAATCCTCACACCCCTAGAAAGGAGGGCGGGCGAGAAAAAGGGTACCCTCAACTCAGGGCCCAGCTCCACGCAATAAGGAGGCGAGGCGGAGGTGGGGGTTGGGGGGTGGGGGGAGACCCGGGCACCTTGAGGTGCCTCCCCAGTGCCAGCGTTCTAATTTCCAAAGCATTCTAAAGCGGAAATCACGAGATCCATGCAGTTGATTATCCCCGTTCCTCCAAGTAAAAGGGATTCTTAGGAAAAGCTCCTCGAACTTTTTCAGTGGAAGAGAGTAATGCAGTTTCCAGGTAAAAGTAAAAAGCCTCGACCCCATTCCTCTCCATCAATCGCTAGGAGCGCCCGCCTCCCTTCCAGCAACCGCCCCCACCCCCATCTCTACCCAGAACGCCCGCCGGGTTCCGGTGCAGGCCACCCGGGGAAGCGTTTAATTCGACCGCCACCTCCCACCGCTGCGGAGACGAATGCATTTTCCATCCCTTGGGCGTTTGTTCGCTACGCAGCTGTTGGGCTTGGGGAATCTGTAGGGACCACGAACTCCTAAACCCTGCGGCTCCCGGCGCTCCATGCCCTCCTGGCTGGTTTACAAACCCGGGGGAAAAGAAAGGCTGTGGGTTGAGTCGCGGGGGCCCCCAGGCAACACCTCACCCAGGCCGTGCAAAACGAGCCCTGCGAGGCGCTCGAGCAAACGACGCGGGAACACTAGGCCTCCCGCCCCCTCGCCCGGGTGCCAGCTCGCGGGCGCGTGCGAACTGTCTGGCTGCCCAGAGGGGCAGGGAGGCGCGCGGTCAATGCGCCGTCCCAAATCGCGGTGCCCGCCGACAGGAAGCGACAGAGGCACCAGGTTTCCCTTCCGCATTAAGAGGGTTTTTCCTTTTTTTTTTCTTTTTTCTGCTTGGCAGGCGGAGGGCTTTTTAAATTGGTCGTGGAGATCCTCAATTAGAAGTGTTACGAAGCTGGCAAAAGAGGACACAGAGGAAAACTCCCCGCCTCGTCCAAAGGAGGCTCCCGCCCTCGCCCTCCGCCGGGTGAAAAGAGCTCGCCCACCTCCCGCGAGCGAGAAGGGCGCCTTCTTCCCTCTGAGCACCGCCGGCGCTGGCTGCAGTCAGAGCGGCTTTGTAGTTCCCGGTATTTGCTGGGCGGAGGGAGTCTGGAGGCTGAGCGTTCACAGCGGTCTACGGGGAGGTTTTTCCCAGATGCCGGTGGGGTCTCTACATCCCCACCCCCAACACACCCAGTGGCTTCCCTGTCGGTCTCTTTATCGCTTTCTCAAAGCACATCTGTCCGATGTGCGTTTCTGCGGCAACCAGCAGCCTCTGCTACACGCGCCAACTGCCCAACGCGCTGCCACATGCGGTAATAAACAAGCTCTCCTTCTCCGCCAGGTGCCCCCGCATCCGTCCCGGTGCCCCACAGGTTGGTCCCCCTCTGCGTCCGGCAGAGCAAAAGGGGAGCGTCGCGGGCACCGGCATCTGGCGATTCTCAGGCCTGGGGCGGAAAGGACGGACGCCCCAGAGAGCGGGACTTCGAGACTCGCCGCCGGGCGCTTCTGAGTTCCCAGCACCAGGGGGCACCAGAAACCGCCGGAGTTCCGAAGCGCCCACGCGGCCGGGCAGCTGCCTTGCCACTTTAGAACCGCTGCACGAACGCTCCCCACCACCCTCCAATCCTCTCCGAATCCAAATTACCCCCCGGAACTTTTGGATGTCCTCACCGGGCATCCCTGCTGTTCATCCTCTCCTACCACTCTTCATCCTTTCTCCCGGATTTTTCTCTCCCGCCCCATTTAAGCTGGTTTCTCGGCAACCTGAACTCCCCCTCCCTCCCCCGCGTCTCGGTGACAGCCTCACCGCGGGTGAGCGCTCCCGCCGCTAGTGCCCCCGCACTTTCCCGTGTCTGGCAGGCTGGGAGGGTTGCCCTCGAGATCCAGGTCTCAGGAGGAGAAAAAGGGAGGCGGGGGGTGGGTGGGTGGGGGCGGGCGCAGTAACTTGGAGGCTTTCTTTTGGAATACGGACAGAAGTTGCTGAAAGATGTATTGCTTTTGTCAGCTGTGCCTTGTGTCCTGAACGGACGGTGGACTTACTCAGTTGGGCCCAAGACCAAGGTAGGGAAAAGAATGAGCGACTCTTTCTGCATACAGTCTGGGAATGGGTCAAGGGCCCGAGGCCGTGTGTCAGATCCAGAGTGCACCCGAACCCCTTGCGAGAATAGGCTGGGGACGCTGCGGGCTCCTCGGACACCTGACACTTGTTGAAAAGGCGCTACTGTCCCTGAACCCTGCCAAAGCGAAGATATGGCGAAACTCAGTGCAAGACCGGGTCGCTGCGGGGCGGAAGCCCAGAAGCTCGCATTGGAGCTTTGCGGGTGGAGGTGCGTGAGTGAGGTTAGAAGCAGCATCTCTTCCTTGGGATACTTAAGTGAACATCGAAAATACTGTGCAAGAGTCGAGTGCGCTCTAACATATCCGCGGCAGCGCCCAGGAAACTTGTGTTTGCCCCCACCAATGAGCAAAAATCTTGCGAGCACGGGGTTGGGCCGCTCCCCTGGAGCGCGCGCATCGGCTCTGCAGACCGGTTTGCCACCCCCGAAACCAGGGAGGCGCCAGAAGGCTGGGGAGGTCCGCGGAAAGTTATTTCCCGCCCCGAGAGGGGCTGGAAACCAAAAGGCGGCGAAATCAGCCCTGAGGTTGTGCAAGGTAGTGGTGGAGAGTGTTGATTGGGGAGGTGGCACAGTGCAGGAGAAAAGCGGTCATTCAAATAATCACTTAGATGGCGTAGGGGAGACCTTGAGGTTCGAGAGTCTGTTGGAGACGGAGACCCGGGTCCTGGGCTATGCCGGAAGCCCCTCTCTTAACCTCGACGCGGATGGTTAGTTGGAATTGCGGGCTCATGCAAGTAACCGGGTTCAGAAAAGGGCGAGGAATGTAGATTTGCAAGACGGCTCCAGAGGAGGTGAGCGCTCTGTTTTTAGGTCCTCAGGACCTTTAGCAGCAGCCCCTCCCGGGGCCTACACTTTCCCTCAGAACAGACCAAAACAAGTTACACCCCAGTAATGATATCTTTGCAGCAGCGCCTCCACAGAGGACCCAACTTTGGCAGTGGTGGGTTCAAAGACGACCCCAGCCCGGCACCTTCCCGGGACTTGACGGAAGAGCGCCCCTCCGAGTCGGGGAGGGAAACTCCTTGTCGAATATTCCGGGGTCCAGAGGCATCAGGGACCCCAGAGATCTTTGCCCACGTGGAAAGGCAAACTGCCCCTCCGCAAGGCCAGCCTGGCTCCAGTTCAACTTCCCTTTCTCCTCTGTCCTTCCAGCGTCTCGGTTCTCTCTTAGTCTCTTCTCTTCCTAGTCTCACTGCCCGTTCTGAGGTCCAGCCGCGCCCCCCTCGGTCTCCAGCGCCCCGCCGCGCCCGCCTCCCCTCAGGCCCTCTCCCCCACTCACCTCGGATCCGGTCTCCGCAGACCCCCAGCTGGACATTAACTCCAGGAGCCCCGAGTCCCAGCCAGGAGACCCATCCGGGCCGAGGGCAGGAGCGCGGAGCCCCGCCCAGCAGGTTAGGGGCACGAGTTCGCAATCCTGGGGCCGTTCCCGGCAGGGAGGGCACGCAGGAGGCGGCGGCCAAGGCTCCAGCCGCTGCCGCCACCGCCGTGAGAAGGGCGAGGGATGCCGACAGCTCCCCCGCCGGCTCCCCGCACCCCCAGAAGGCGAGGTCCGAGCAGCCGCCGCTGCCTTGGTTGAGGGGTGACAGGGCTGCGCGCGCCGCGCTCTCAGCCGGGGCCGCGCGGGCGCGGGGCGCGGCGGGCTGTTCAGCGGCGGCGGCCGCGCTCTGCGCCTTCTTGGGGCGCCGCGCCTGGGAGCACGAGACGGGCCGGGCTGATGCTGCCGCCGGAGCTGAGTCTGGAAATCCGAACGAGACACCACGTCAACCGGCGCCGAGAGTCCCGCGAAGACATGAGGGCGCCAGGAGCGCAGGCTGGTCCTGGAGAGCCCGGGCCGGGGGCCGGGGTGGGGGAGGGGAGGCGCGGGGCCCCGGGAGGGGAGGGGTCGAGCGGCGGCGGCGACGGGGAGGGAAAGGAGAAGAGCGAGGAGGCGCCCGAGCTCCCGAACCGGGGGCTCCGGGTGCGAGTGGGTGACGCGAGGCGCCCCTCCCCGGGGTGCAGGGAGAGAGCGCTCAGCGCGTGGAGACGCGGCCGGGCTCGCGCTTCCTCCTCGCCGGGAAGATCCGGAGGAATGTGCGGAGCTCTGCGCGGACCAACCGAAGGGGGCAATCCGAACTTGACCGCGGCGCCCGCGCCCGGCTTCGCCCTCGCGCCTAGCTGTCTGAGCCGGGGCTCTGTCGAGTGGAGGGCTGCAATGGGCTCTCCTCGCGCCTGTCGAAGGCTTTCCTTCCACCTCGATGTCTAGCTCTCTGGCTTTTCTGCAGGGCAGAAGGCAGTAGCGAGGAGGGCTGCTGCTGGCCGGAGTTCTCCAGCACTACGAAGGAGAGATGTGCAGCGGCCCAGGGAGGGAAGCCGAGTGTTTGCCAGGGGACGCTGAGACCGGGGCAGAATTTATAGGGCTCTCACCCCGTGACGTGCCCTCCAGTGGCTTTTCTGATTCGCTTTCTGACCTAAACACACATTAGTTTAGTCCCCATGCTAGGGCCAACACGGTCTCCACATATCTGCTGGCTGAAGTCAGAGGCTTTGCATATCATGTATTACACGGCAGGCAATGAAGAAGGCTTCTGAGGCTGGCCGCTCCTCGGTCCTAGGCTCCATTTTCATGCTGTTGTAATATAATACCAGACGTGGGGTAGACACATACATTCAGAATCCCAATTCCAGAGACCTAAGATCACTTGATTGGGAACAGGTCGGGGAAGGTTGGACTAAACCTTTTATTTTCGAAAATGCAGATGGGAAACCTAAGTAAGCACTGCTTTGGGTGCTGAGTTTGCAGTGAGCAGGGCCCCAGCGCCCGTTCCTGATCTCTGTGAGACCTTTTAGGCATTCCTTTTGTTGGTTTGCTCACCACCAGACGCGCCAGAGCCTTCTTTTGTAGAGGACGTGAGGAGGGCAAGCCCTTACACACCCTGCACATGACTCTCCCCATAAATCCGTTGCATTCACCCAGGGCATGAAATTAGCTCTACCTTTAAAATAATGTACTGAGTAAGGTATGTCTTTGCTAAGCAGAAACCTGTTTTCCGGAAGCCATTGGACCTGAATTCAGTGGGACCTCTTTTATTTTATTAGCTGGGGCCAGGGAGAGCATAAACAGGCTCAGTTTACATCCATGTACCTCTTATTTTATGACTCATCCGGCTGTTGAGGAGTATGTGTTCGTGGAGTAACTGATACAGACAATAGACAGGGAAGTGTGTGTGGCAATGTGGGGGGAAGAGCCCATAGTACTAAACTGCTTGAAAGACAAATATCAGCTACTTTGGAGGTTTGTCAGTGATGTTAGAGTGGGAGGAAAATTGCCCTTCTTAATGTTACCATGATTTAAGGTTAAGTGGAGTGAAAATCGAGTCATCCAGACATACCTTAGTTGAAATTAGGACGCCTACTGGAGTTCTGCAGAATGTGACATATCCTTCTTTGATAGATTACAGTAGAAATGTAGATGGGTTTGAAAATGGGCTAAGCTTAATATACTTATCCTAGTTTAACACTGTTTTTGGAATTTGAAGGCGACCCTCGCCAGTGTTCTTAACCGTGAGTGATTTCTTCATTTTCTGAAGGCTTTTCAACTGGGGATGGTCCTGCCTTCCAAAAACTTGCAATGATTTAGTGCTCGCTGTTGTGCCAGGAGAAGTGCTAGACCCTGGGGATTGTGCTGACTGGGATTTTGGGGGGGTTGCAGAGCACAGATACCTCTAGTTTACCCGAAGTAATGGGAGTTGACTGTGGACGGAAGGCTGACCGGAATCTCCACTGCTCAGCCACGTGTCTCCGAAAAGCCTTCCGGAAAGGCCACCCAGCCAGGCCTCACGAAAACCGGATTGGAGCTCAGGAACTGGAAGGTCATTCAGTATCCGGCTCTGTGACTGGGTTATCTTGCTGCCCCCCTGAGCCACAGGCATCTGCCGTCCCTTCTAACAGGCTTAGCCGCCAACGTGGTTCAGCTCCTCTCTCTCTGTTTTTCTCTGACTGTCTCTTGGCTTCTGCTCCTGCTACCAACTGCTCAGCTCTCTGTTGATCTCACATTTAAACTCCAGTGAGAGGATCTTATTGGCCCCACTGGGCACTAGCTAGGTGCTCGAAATGGACGGAGAGCTTTTGAGTCAGGACATACAGGTTACTGGACACCCTGGAGCACAACAGACCTTGGTCAGGTTCTTATTCCGGGACTAATCACCCATGTCTACGTTGTTGGGTCTCATGGTTCCAAGACTGGCCATCTTCACTTAAGACGCTTCCTAGAGTTCCTCTTTGCCTTCGCTCCGCAGGATTTGGGCACCCAGAAGGAGCTGTGTTAATAGCAGGCACTTGGGAGTTTAACAAACCTCTGTCTACTACAAGACTCAAGGATAGATAAGATATGACTCCTTTCTCTCTGGAAGCTTACCATCTCTAAGGAGAGGGAGGCATGTACACAAGTAATCATAGTATAAAATGGTAAATGCCGTGATAGAGGTGTATGTGACGTGCTCAGATGTGATTTTTACCTGGCAAGTGGAACCCTGGGGAGGTTGCAAACACATACCCGTGCCTCGACCTTGTTCCCGGGCAATTAAATGTGAATTTCTTGGGTGGTGGAGCCCAGGAATTGGTATTTTAAGTTGTTCTAAGTGCAGCCAGGGTTGAGGTATCAGTTTTCTTTCCCCTAATGATTAAAATAATCATTAATATGATGATTCTTTTTGAGAGCCAAACTAAGAGGCTTACCTATTTTGATAGGTTCTAGGACTCAGACTTTTTCAAAACATTAAATCCTTTTGAAATAGTACTAATTATCTTAAATAGTAATATAAAAGAAAGTGTAAAATTAACTTAGAGTTAAAGCAAATACTTATAGTTTTGAAAGAACATTTTTTAGATGATTACAACATTCTGACGACTACAGAAGAAGTGAAAAATTCTAAAATTTTTCAAGATCCCCCACTATAAAGCCCAATATCTAAAAGTACTGCAGTTGATATTGACAAAAATCTTAGACCTTCACAGACAATGAGAAACAAAGCTGCTTCCAGAGTGACTGCCAGGAATCAAGCATTGGGCACAAGGGGATAGCCTGGTGTCACCATCTCAAACTCCCCGGATATTGGAAGTAGGGACCCCCAATAGCTCTGTGTCCGCATCTTCTCCTTTCTCCAGGAGACAAAGATATGTTTGATTTGATGTTCCTCAACATCATCCAGAAGAGAACAATTTGCTGTCCAGAAGAATACCACTTTTGTGCTGAATAGATGGATGGTCCCCTGATAAAGTAATAACAACACACTGCTAAGAAATCTCACAGTGTCCTTAGATCTCAGCCTCTCATCTGGAAAACCCTGCCAGAAACTCAGAAGGGGAGAAGCAAGTATGGTTCAAGCATCTCATCTCTTCTTTGAGAAAAAAAGAGTTCATCACCTTGCTGATTTCCCATTTCACCATTATCATTATCTTCATCAGAACTCATTGTGGATCTTTAACTGAAAGATGTCAAAATCATGGGTGCTCCCCGTGCCCCAAGTCCAGGGGAAGAGAAAAAGTGAAAGTGAAAGTGGCTCTGTTGTGTCCGACTCTTTGTGACCCCATGGGCTATACAGTCCTTGGAATTTCCAGGCCAGAATACTGGAGTGGGTAGCCTTTCCCTTCTCCAGGGGATCTTCCCAACCCAGAGATCGAACCGAGGTCTCCGGCATTGCAGGCAGATCCTTGGGAGGAAGATAAAACACAAACAAAAAATGATAAAGAATACAGGATATCCTGAGGCTGTGGGCCTTGAGTATGACCATATTTGGAACTCAAACTGGGGCTTGATAGGGGTCGTAGGCGGAGAGGAGGGGAGCCAAGGGGGGACATTCCAGGCTAGGTGGAGGGGTCCCTGCAGACTCAGTGCTGTGTGCTGTAACCTGGAGGGGCAGCGCGGTGGCAGAGCAGCCTTTGGCCCTTCACAGAGAGGCCCGGTGAGCTCCCAGGGGAGCCTTGCAGCTGCTTTGCCTGTGAAGGCCAGGACCTGGGTCCCTGGACTTCCTCATAACATGGGTCATGACGGCTGAGACCGAATCCATCACTGGGGCAGGGCAATTTCCTTTTCAAAGTCACCACTTTATTGGGCAGGGATTGCTTTCATGCTCGCTCACTCTTTAACAGTCATTTTCACCAATGATACGATTACTCATAAAAGAAAGATAAATGTTCTATCCTTCAAACCGCTTAAAGAGAAAAGAGGAAAAAAAAAAGAACAGGGAAAAATGGACTGTATTGGCTTCTTTGTAAGGACTAAATTGTAAAGTAGATAACTCCTTTGGAGTAAATTCTTTCTCTTAAGAAATTGATTCTGACATTGACATGGTAGATTTATCAGTTGATTTCCAGCAGTTTCTTTTATGGGGATCAAATTGCCTAATTACCCAGAATTTTGTTTTTGGTTCTTAGGATTACTTTATGGGAGTCTTCTTTCCTGGTAATAAAACCTTAATCAGGTAAGAGGGTTCCAGCAGACTCTTATTCTGCAAAGGGTCTAGTGGCTTCACGTTAGGTTTGGCACACTTTTTCTGTAAAGGGCAGGCTCTTTTGGGTAGATATAGGAAATATTTTAGGCTTTGCAGGCCATACAGTTTCTCTTGCAGCCACTCAACTCTATCCTTGTATGGCAAAAACAGCCATAGAAGATATATAAATGAACAGGCACAGCTGTGTTCCCATATAGCTTTATTTATGGACATTGAGATTTGAATTTTATATAATTTTCACGTCATGAAATACTACTCTTTATTTTTTCTCTTCAGCTATTTAAAACATGAAAATTATCCTTCGTCCTCAGACCGCACAAAAGGAGGTGGTAGGTAGGATTTGGCCTGAGGGCTGTACTTTGCTGATTCCAGTTAGGTAAAGGTTGTAACTCTGAGGAACTGTATCACCTATTGAATTAAGGAATTCCAGAGCTGGAAAGCACCTGAAGCTTAGAGTCTAATCTCAATTTACCAGGAGAGAAAACTGAGGCAGAGAGGGTTAAGTGACTTATCCAAGGTCATTCTGTGAGTGAGTGACACACTCTTACTATTGAGAAAACGTGGGATCAAATGACTTCACTGGGGGCTGTGAGTGCACCGACATTTGCACGTGTGCTTTAAGGACAGCAGTGGGGAGTACACGGAGGATTTATTGTATCTTATTCTTTCAAATTGGGACTTAGTATCTTTTGTTTAGCCAAGAAATGAGTCCAAATACAGAGAAATCAGTTCGACTTTTTATTGGTGGTAGAGGTTGGTGTCTGGCCAAATGGGGAACAAAACTTTGAAAAGAAGTCAGTTACCACCTTTCAGAGTAGCAGAG